TCTATGGGTTAAATAGCAGAATAGTGTAGTGTGCTTATTTGAAACTGTTAGTCTACGAGAAAAACTTTGAATTAAAATTCATAGAGAAGGCAACAGGAAACATTGCATTATCTTTCCCAAGAAGACTTTGTAGTTTATATAAAGAAAATAAACAGAGCGATATGATCAACTATACCCTGAAAGAACAGGACATTATAAAAAATAATGTAAACCTTTGTACCGACAATTCTTATTCACGTGGTTGTATACTTGTACAAATACTTGTATTTTCTTCACGCATACTCAACCATAGATTTTTTAAGACTAAGATTTTTAATCAATTCACCCCAAGCAAGGCGATAATGCTACTAAGACACAATGAACTACTAGGAGTGAAAGAGAATGAGAAGACTTAAGAAGGAACCGGAAATCCAATCCTAAACAGGAAACAATGGATAAACCTTTACCCCTGTTCAAAAGACAAGAGAGCAATGCGGAACCGAAAGATAGGCGAACCTATCTACTCCTGTTGTGGAAAACAGTTTTGTTACATACACACACGCATATTTTGTGATGTCAACATGTACTCGTTACCATTTTTGTAATGTCAACGATACTCATTGTCACTTTCGTAATGTTCGTGGTAGTAGAGACTTTGTAATCGCAGATTACAACTATAGTACGCCGTTGAACAATACTGGTGTCAGACGCCTTCGAATATCACTCGCACTAATAGTACTTGCTCGATAATATTGGCATGAATAGTAATCCGTATAGTGATCCGAATAGAGAAATAGTATAGTGAATAGAGTAGAGAATAGCGCCCCGTATAGTAATAGAGGATAGAATAGAATGCAGTTGATAATATTTATTGCAAAAGGTTATGATACAAATTGGCACAAAGGCCGAAAAGGGAATGGGGAAAAGGATGGTCTTGTTTCTCTTAACATTAAACTTAAAAGCCGCAAACACTGACCCAAACATAGAAACAATATGTTTTTAACCAAAACAACTCATTCTTACTTGACCATTCTTGCCTCATCCAATAATATAAGAAACTTTATGAAGTTCTAACTAGTCCCCATATATACAATTCATTGTCTGCATGGGGGAGGGGAATAAAATAACAAATAAAATTCTAAAAACCCCAATGAGTATTTACAAATGTGTCCAAAACTATATACAAGAAATTAAACAAAATTTTTTATTAATATGAAATCCCCATTAAACTAACATTGGTATAACATCAGATTAACTGGACGAAACAAATACTTTTTGAAAAAATATAAAACATCCATACATCACATTGCATGATGTCCAATGAACCACACGTTTCATTCAAACACAAGAACAGTTACGAAAAATCACATCCGAAACGAAAGACGCCCCGCACTCACCAGAGAACTGACATCACTATTGTTATAGTGGAACACACCTATTCTATAGTTAATAGACTCTCCCACCTATAATAAGTAGGAGTAGTAAGAGTCGCTCAGGAAGGGAGTCAGTTCGGTTAGTCGAGGTCGGACGACAGTTAGTCGAATACTAAAGTATCAGCGACCACAACTAGATTACTCTGCGTTATACCTATTATATCAAGTTCCTAACGTTTTGTACGTCGAACCTATTTTAGGACCGACTTAGTACAAATACTAGCCTCCACTGTGAAATCACTCCATAACAACTATCCACCTAAAGATGGGAGGGATGAGGAATTAAACCAAAAGAAAAAAAAGGGACAAAAATAAAAGGGACCAATGAGCATACACACCCTAGCTAAGTTTACTAAAGAGAAAAAACTAAAACAAAAACGGCCTACACTAAACTATTAAGGGGGGAGAGTTCGAATAGAAATGGTGATTAATTAGAGACAAGCTACCTCCCATATATGCGTTTCCTCTATGATCACGTGGTCTACTGAATTCAATAATGGGATCGCCTGTGTTTACTCACTGGTGATCTGTGTTCAAACTCAAGTGTCGGTAGCGACACTTTATTCCTATACAACACATACATATAGAAACACACGCATATAACGAAACAAAGAAAGACACAAAATATCAAAAAAGGCGTTCTCTTTCCTGATATTTCTCTTTTGTTCTGGGGAGGTGTCTCTTCTTCGTCTAAGATATTCTGGAAAAAGATCTGCTAAAAATTACTTTCTTCTTCTCTAATAATCTTATCAGTAAGCATGTCTTTTTTTTTCTTTCTAGCCAGTCAATGATAGGGCATTTCTATCTAGACGCCGAATTCCAACCTCTATCAATTATAATCCTATTCTATTTCACTCTTGGCATTTTTGTCTTTTTTCTTTTATTCCAACCATTCCATGCTTTTATTTTCTTGCCTTTTCTTTATTATGTTCTTCACATTTTCCTATTATTTCTTCATTTTGGATTTATTTATTGCCTGTACTTAAATTCCTCTTCTTTTATTCGTCTGTCTCTTCATCAACCTTTTCTTTCTTTTTCATCCTTCCGTTCAACCTCACTTCCTTTCTGCTTTCCTTTTGACTTCTTCCCATTTGGACGTTGAAACACCGGTTCCCGTGCGATCACTGAAGTTAAGCAACGTCGAACCTGGTCAGTACTTAGATAGGTGACCGCTTAGGAATACCAGATAAGTTTGGATGTACGGGTAGTCAAATGGATGATGGCTCGAAATTGTTCATTGGAGAACTAGAGTTCCAATTCCTGTTGGGTTCGTTATATTCACTTCGCGCAAATACCCTCAGAAAAGGCATGAATCCACCGAAAATACCCTTGGGAAAGGTATGAATCCACCTCTTCTTCCCCAGCTATGGGTTAATTAGTAAGACTTCTATCTCTAAACCATTATTATCTCAAAAATAAATTCTTACAATCTACAAAAATTATCAGGCTTTAAATAACATACAAAAGGTCGATAAGCCGTAAAAAATGAATCAATCAATCATTTCTTTCTACTTGCCTCTCTGTTCCTTCATTTTAAAAAACTATTGTCTGATCCAGGTGCTTTAAACCCCTCAGCCACAGAGAGCATCACACATCGCAGCAAGATTTTAAAAACTCTTTTGAAGAACGCATATCCACTCATTCAGATCGACCCAAAAGCCAATATTTTCCCATTTTCTTTTATCCGAAACGTAAACAAATTCTTCAAGAGACTTAATAAAGTAAGATGCAGGTTCGAACCCAGCTGAAGATCACCCTTTCTTTATTAAGTCTCTGAAATGCGCAGGCCGATAGACGTAATTTACATAATGCGTCTATTCAAATATGGCTATCAACAAATTAACGATTGCAGCAATAACAATTTTTATTATGTCTGTTTAATTTTTGATTGAATTTTTCTTGTTATTGTATTTATATTACTTGTATGTTGCATATAGGGATCGAAATTGTAGATAAACTGTTTGAAGTTCATGTTTATTCTGTTTTGTTTAACTACTTTCTGTCGTCTTATTCATTACCAAGAACCATATGTTGTCAATGTGGTAAGCAATAGCCGAAAGGTTGAAAAACTCCCAAATGTGTAACATTTAAAGCGAGAGACACCGCACTAGAAATCATGTATCAGATAAATGTATAATTATTTTTTACGCATATTAAATATTTTATATACACTTCAATGTAGATATTTACCTCGTTTCCCCACTGAGACGTGATGTGATACAAGATCGGGTTTATAGTGGGGACCCCGAGCGCGTATATTCGGGTTAAGGACAAAATATCCCCGAGCCCAAGCAATCGTCAGTTGTGCGGGCCTCGGTGGTGAGCACATTTTATTTAATCGGGGTTGTTCACTTTATACAGTAATAGCTTTTAGTATTTTGAGTTTTTCCTTGTATTGGGTGCTTTAGAGTATTTTAGTATCAACCACTATTATTTATCTTATGTTAATAGTTTGTATTTTGGTTGTTTGTGTTTTAATGATTAATACGTGCCAGAATTGCACTCCTACATGCTACAAGAGAGTATGGTCCATGCGTGACTAATATATATATATATATATATATATAGCATCGCTCGACAATGGAACGAAACTCTGTATTTTAAGTTTAATTTTTATAATTAAATTTGGGATTGAAGTTTCAGATTTGAAATTTCTGTATCGCGATGGGAACATATTTTTTAAAAATAATTTCCAACATGGAAACCCAAACACATTTGTTCTTTGACACAATACAACTTAGAACACAAACAGAGAAACCATTACCAACGAACCCATTGAAAATGACTAATGTATTAGCCGAAAGCGCTTGGGACAACAATAATTTCGGACAGTTTTTACATTCTCTTAGCTTCCACCCTTAAAAAGAAAACTGTAACTTTAGAAACACTTAATAAAAATCTTATAAATGTTTCCCTTGTCTGTCACATTTAGCGAAATGTGTATAAAAGAAAGATTGCTGCTGAAATATGCAATATATTTGATTATATGTATATGCACCTGTTTACACGTCGTTTGAATGCATAAAAGCTGATGGTTAGGTACATCTAAATGGAATTTTTTAAACATTTATTTTGTTTTTCTTAATTCGTAATATTTGCGTAATTTGTGAAGGTAAAATGCATAATTTTCTTTAACCGATTTTTTTTCGTATGTCAGAGTGAAAAAGAAACTGACCTAAATTATGTGAAAAAATAAAAATGGTCGGATTAAACCGGACGGTCGAATGAACAGGAAACCCGCCTTATTGATCGTCTCCAGTGATCCTCGATTTTAATTTGTTTCTGTTTCCAAATCAAAGAGCTCTTTTTATACATAAACTATTTTCATGTATTTATTTCAGAACAAAAACGAAAAGTAGCCGGAACGCTGTTATTGGAAACAGCTTTTAAAAAAATTTCCGACTGACCAACTTTTCGTTTAAAATCAATAAAAGTTTCGTACGAGTTATTTCCCTTGACTATCTGTTTGCAAAAATTCAAAAATAGCAAGAGAGACTCGACGTTATTCTGGGATAAAATAAGTAATGCTTTTTTTTTTCATTAAACAAAACGCTTGCTGTTTAATTTTACTTTGTCCTGTTCACATATAACTTAGAATTTTATGAATCATTAAAGTGGAGACTTTTTTTTTTTAATATAGTTTGAAAAGAAAAATACTTGATCCGCTTTCGAGCTAATTTCTCGAATATCATAATGTCCTTATATTTTAACATTTATTTCGGTTAATGATCCAGGAAAATAGCACTGATTATTTTAATAGGAACTCCTCTCACTAGCCCATCATCTCCATAATCTTCGGGGAATCCCGTGATTCACCATTTTTTAATGACGTGATGTAATCCTACTATTCACCAGGTTAAAGGGCTATTCTTATCAGTACGTGTGTTAACATATTCCTTTATATTCCATATCATTTCAGGGCATGGAGGATCATGGGTCTCTACAGCTTCCCGTTTTTGACTCTTTAACCATAGAAAACTAACCATCAATTAAAGTTACACCACTACTAGCCATGGGTATTTTATACCCGATTTTGAAAAAAAAAAAAAAAAAATTAAATATAAATCTTTATTTGAAATATTTTACATGCAGGCACTTCAAACTTTGTTCTTTGAGTTAACATTAATAGGAACTGAAAGACATATTATTTAGGTAAGAAAATCAGGTACTGAAAATTGTAATTAAAAATAGGAAACTTTGCGCTGGGTACTATGGGTACCCAGGGTTAGTTTTCTAGGGTTGACATCCTTTTATAGCAATGTTTTACCATCCATCCACTCAAAATCGTTAATTATGTTATTCACTTTTTCTCCCTGCTTCTTTAGTCTAAATATACCCTGTGAGTGTTAAATTCCACGAGCCTTCTTTCTTTATTCTACACCCATAAATTACAGCTATTCTTTGTGTCACAGAAATCTAACTGTTTCATTATGTGTCCCAGCGTGCTCAAGAGTTCCACAAGTTCAGACCTTCACAGCTAAGACCCGTCATACTGGAATGGAATATCCTCGTTCCGTTTGTATTCCATTTGTAAGTTCCATTCGGAAAATCAGAAAACTTCTTATCAAGAACTGCTACTTTGTTGGTCAGAATCCCGACAGGATGTTTCCCCAAACGTTATTATTTTAACCTCTACCTGTCTAGAGTTAACCGTTATCTATCGTACATATCCTCACAAGCTGCATTTATTACCTCCTCCTCTTATGCTCATACAACAACCTCATTTAATAACCCTCTACCTTGACTGTCTCTTGGGCTTTGTATTTGATGAACAATTCGTATATCAAAAATAGGCTGGCTTATAGTTCCTACTGTTCTTAAAGCTTCAACGTTGTATTGTGGCCTTGTTAGGACCAGAAATAAAGACACTGAATTGAGTTAAACAAAAATATTAACAGGAAAAGTAATACAAACATATACAAACGAGAGTGTTACAGCTAGAATGTTTGGTACGACTGTCAGAGCTGACTGCTGAAAACTTCCCTCTCCAAAAGGCAGTACCTGCTCCTATTTATAGCCGGGAGAGTCTATGCGTGCGTGGGTAAATTACCATAACACGTTGCTCACTTGATTTTTCCATAAGGACTTCACATTCTGATGTCAAAATTCCTTTGTCCTTTGACATTCCCATTTATTCTACTTGGTTTGGATTTCGTCCTGCACCGCGGAAGGAATCGTTGGTACGCCGACGTGCTGAGCTGCCCATCGGTCTCTTCCATCTGTCGCGGTCATGTATAGTACGTCAGGCTGTGACCGATCCGGTATACGGTTGTTTCTTGCTCATCAAGTGACGTGTCTTGGACCTTTTTATCTGCGTCGAGGTAGTCCTTCGCCCAGTGGTGCCATGTTCACACCACCCGATCACGTGAGTTTAACCCGCCAGCTGAAGCGGTTTACCGGGGCATGGCAATTTTGAGCCACCACGTGGGATATTTAGGAGATGGTTGGTGACAAGTAATGTCCGTCTACCCGAAGGTGCAGCGTGTCAGACATAAAAGCAGAGCCCCCTATCCCAATTTATTTTACTGGCAGATCTTAAAAACAGTGCTTGTGATATCTTGCTAACAGCAATAGGCCCCTTGGAAAAATTAAAGTCACTTTTATTAAGCGGTAAAGTCCAAGATATGAATTTCCATCACCAACTATTTACTCCTGTCGTAATGATATGTCTAATCAGTTCGATGAGGTCAACTTGGTAGCTGATCTCAAAAATCACGGACAAACTGTTGTTAACCTGGGCTAGAAATGGCTTGTTAATTTTAACGCTTCCAAAACGGAACTGCTCTTTTTTAGTATCTGTTTATACTTCAGAGATGAGGTATTATTCTCTGATAACCTCTTCACATAAGGCAGGCCTATCCCAGTTTTTTGGGGCTGCTGCCATGTACCCAGGGTAGTTGTTACGTTGTAGGGTACTACTTATAATGACCAATACTTTATCTAATATCTCTGGGTTGCTACATGACTTTTGCTCGGCGTTGTAAGCAGCGGACGATCCCTTTCTTTACGCTGTATGGATGGTGGGAGTTGAAATTGAGGTACTGTCCGGTGAGGTCCTCAAGGACACATGACACAGTGGATACATGTTAGATCCAGTGACAGGACCCAAAGAGTGTGAGTTCAATACTAGGTTAAGGCAGTGGAGAACTTGAAAAGGGGAATTAACAGGAGATAACTGACAACAAC